TTGAAAATAAGAGTGATATTTAAAAACTAGTAAAGTAATACAATGTAATAGATGATGAGACACATTTGCCTTACCTGAGTTGATACATATCCACCAAACGAATTTCTTTGTGCTGAAAGCCAACGCATCACAGGAAGCCCATTCTTTATATCTTTGTCGAGACACAGTGTCAACAGTGCGTATGCTGTAATCTCGACATCTGCTGAACGTGGCCGATAATATGGTCGAAATTGAGGCTTGGCTGAATCTTGCTTAGCATTCGACCAGTGCATCATTCCATCTATACAAAACACACATCATCAGGGGAAGAAATCTCTTTTTTATAACTCCATTCTCGGAAACCCGGGTAAGAGGGAAAATATCCAATAACTCCCGATCCCCACTCAACAACCACTGGGTTTCCGAGGATGTTATAACCCTATTACTATTATTACCATTAGTTGTTAATTCGTTGACGTCATATATAACAGTGACGACATATATAACAGTGACGACATATACAGCCTTTTGCAAAAATTATGAGAATTGTCGAAATATCTAAATATCATAATATCGAGTGCATGATGGGTAATCCCGCGCGATGCCCTTAGTCCCTTGTCTTTGTAGTTTAGTTTTTTTTTTGGCGACACACTTATCCGTAGTTCTGAACATTTTCTCGATGTCAACAATGAATTATTCTAGCAAACCCGCGTGTTCCGGACAATATATGGATATGTATATTATGATATTTAGATATTTAGACAATTCTCATAAATTTTGCAAAAGGCTGTATATAACAGTGAAGTCATATATAATAGTGACGACATATATAACAGTGACGTCTATTTAACGGAACGTCATATATAACGGTGACGACATATATAACATTGACGACATATATAATTGACGACATATCTAACAGTGACGTCATATATAACAGTGACGACATATATAACAGTGAAGTCAAATATATAACAGTGACGACATAACAGTGACGTCTATTTAACGGCGACGTCATACTTAACGTGACTTTGACTAACCTTTCTTTATAGCCATGTCGAAGAGAGCCCGTTTAGCCTTCTCACTATCAGCACTGTTAACGAGTTTTAGGGCGTACGTTGTTAACGACAGGGCATAGACATCTTTTTTACTTATGATAGCGTCCAGGTTTTTCTCAAGATAACCGACACCTTCTTGCTTGGCTAACATGATATCCTGATTGAATAAACCGTAATATTAACTACAATACATAACGCTTTCTTGTCTCTAAAGAACAAGTATACGAGAAACGCCTTGTGGGGCAACAAAGCTGTTAGCTTAGCCTAATAATGGTCGAATAGCTGTAAATATTTCTTCTGATAGCGATTTGCTTTGTCCAAAACTATTTCATGACTTTCAAGATTGCWTACCTTATCGGTACTGCCAGCTTCAGCCAGTGCTATGACAACAAAAGCACTAAGTGACACTTTGCCATCATTACCTCCCTGAAAACAAGAAAAAAATCGTTTACACAAACAACCCCTATATAACGACCATATTGCCCGTAAAGCAGAGGTTCTTGTATTTCATATATCACCTTAAGATAGCTTCCGTGTACTTTTCCAAGTGTAGGGAACGAACCATCTTGGTTTTGTTTTTTGCGCATAAAATTCAAGCTAAGTTTCAACGAATCAGGATCAATGTAGATGTACTTGCGAGCTTGWGCATATGACTTAACCACAAACGCTGTGAGCCTAAGAACAAGACGTCATCTCAGTTATCAACAAGTTAAATATAACAAGAGACCTTATTGGTTKGTTAAATAACTACGTCATTATAACAAGACATCTGATCAGTTAATCGATTTACTGCATAGATCGATATAACATCACACCTCATTGGTTAATTAATTTACTGTACAGATATAACGAGAGATGTGATTGGTTGATTAATTTACCACATGCTTCCTTCTTTATCTCTTTCTCCAAATGCACTGTAAGAGCCATCTTTGTGCCTGAACGTTTGTTCGCGTTGGTAACCTAATGACACAAAACAGTTTAGTACTTCATGTGTGTGGAACGTCAACTTAAAATAATATAATTAAGGTTACAATATCATTCCTATTACTTATTTCACCAACCTTTCACCATATAATTCTCTGCTTTAGATTTAATGACTTCAGTGACTTTATTTACAGTCGTTAAGTACTTTAGCACGAAGATGTTTGGAGCAAAGTTCACCATGTTCTGCTCACCACAGCCATAGGGCATGCGCAGTAAGTTGTCAAGGTTACTGAATGAAGAACCAAGTATGTCACCTGTGAATGAAATTACACAAAAAATGTTAAAAAAGAACACTGAAAAACTGACTGACATGTTGATTATTCATACCTATGACTGTAACTTTAGCACGTGCAGATCCTTGGACGTAAGATTTGGGCAGAGCCAGCTCTAGAGTCTTTTTAAAWGAAGACGCTGCAAGAAGGTATTCAACATTTAGAGACAAAAAATATATGCAACTGCAGGTCATTTTCCCTTGACTTGTAGCATTCATTGTCAAGGTTAAAAGGTAAAAATCATCAAAAATGTCGTTTCTTTTTATTTTTTGTTCAAATATTAACTCATCAGTAAATAAAATCATCGACTCATTGCGCACGCGTGAATTAAAACCAGATCATAGTKAACAATGGCCTTCCCCATGGCAACAAAGTAATGTATTATGGGACGTCCAGCGTGGGTGGAGCAAAACAAAAAAGTATATCAGATTATAAAGAGATTCAAAGTCACAATTAACTTGAAACAACACACTCTATGGGAATTGACGGCACGATTCATAATATGACACGCAACTAAAAAAAATATCACGTGATGAAGACATGAGTATTGCCAGTTCWCCAAAGAGGTGTACATAAACAATTTATAGTCAGGATTGAATTATTRCTGTCATGATAAAAACACCTGTTGTAGTCTGGGTGACATCAAATAAAAACCAAACCTCTGCTGTTTTACCATTTATATCGATAAAATGGAAAAAAGGAAAAAAATTACTAGTAGACTTATAACGTCTTGGCGATAGAATTGTTCTGCGATTCGACATTGTTAGAGTACAAACACTAAAACTGTACAACATAAATATCACTAAATACTGCTAAATCATGCTAGTTCTATTRTTTTCTATTGTTTAATTAACACTATTTTGTAGTAAATAGTGGAAAGTGTTGCACACATTTAATGTTTGTACTCTATCATAAAAAGTGATTGATTTTACTTCMAAATGCMMACAAAAGGATKAWACAGACAACATCCATAAAACAGCTTCTAGACACTCAAGCAMAGCAATTAATATTCGACCGCTGCTAAGATAAATAATGACGTTGAAAAATATCRGCAGACAGCTGTCTGRAACTGGAGATTTCAAAACATAATTAGATTTACCGATAGCTATTTTCAAATGCAAAATATAGAAAACTGACAAAAATACATCATGTTTATTGGACAAGAGTTCTTGAAAAGGACACGAGATCTAGGACATCTGTTTTTTGTTGGATAGGTGTTTGCAATATGATTGGGTATYCACGATTGTGGTGGAAATTTCTTGATATATTTTGAACTTTTGTCCCGTTACAKGCACTTTTAAAAACTACTTTTTATCTTCTGATTTGAATTTTTGTTTAYAAAAGACGATACATTTCATTTTCTGTCGTGAAGGACGTTTCTAGGTTGAGTTGGAAAGACGTCACCGAGAGAAAATTGACCATAGTCTACTTTAATACAGTCAAGGTAAGAAAAATTCTGATTACCTGGAAATGCTCGTTTTGTACCAAATAACATAGGCTGGACAGTTTTCTTCAAATCTTTCTACTTTGTTTTGAACTGCGCAAGTATGTTATTATTTTCTGTTATTTTGAGATAGTAATCCTTCTACGTTCATCTTTTTTAATGGTTTAGAAGCCCAATTCCCATAAACAGTTGTGTAAAAACATAATTCAAAACCGTAAAAAAGTAGGTAAAACAACTTAATGACGTTTTGGACGTTAATCCTTTCCCGACTTTTGTTTGTATTGCGATGTATTTTAAATTTCAAAAATCTTAATAACAATAGTCTATGTTTTCTTTTCAGCCAACAGCCATGGTATCAGAGACGTTGTTCATTGTTATGGGTATTGCCATAGTAACGGGAAATTCSATTACCATAGTGATATTCTCAAGTACCCCTCGATTACGCATTCGTAGATACGCATTAATAGTCAATCTGGCAGTGGCTGACTTCTTCGTAGGACTGATATCAATCTCTATGTATTTATACTGGGTTTTCATCCCCAGCGTCTCATCGACTTTTGTCGAAATAAGTAGATTTCAAGATTCCGTATTTGGAGCTGCATCTTTAATAGGACTGGCAGTTTTGGCTCTTGAACGAACCTACGCGACGTACTTTCCCTTCAAACATCGTTGTTTGGGTCAACTTCCTTACAAAGTTTGCATAGCTAGTGTGTGGCTCTTTGCTGTATTATTCGGATTGTCACGCGCCCTAATCGARACTAATATGTTATCCAGGACTATTCAAGTACTCTTGGTTATATTACTTCCTTTAATCTTTGTAACCACTGCATATATCCTTATTTGGATAAAGGTATCTTGTACAAGGACAATTGCCAATCAAGCAATTCATACGAGTAACAAAAAACTGACGGTCACGCTCGGTATTGTCAYGCTTGTCACGCTAGTAGCATGGATTCCCTTCACAATGGTGCAAATTCAATACTTTCTCTGCTCTTCTTACGTGTCTTGCGCAAAAGATGACGTACTAGTATCAAATGAATTCTACACTGTCGCAAAATGGCTACAGTACGGGAACTCGGCAGTGAACTTTATCATATACGCATTGCGCATGCGTGAGTTTAAAATAGAATTACTTCGTAGAGTGAGATTCAATCGAGCACTTCGAGTACATGAGCCGATGGATGGGTTGGAATTTAGAAATATCTGTAATCATACTGATAATCATACTGAATGATGAATGTATAAACATTATAGCAAAACTTACTTGTATTCAGATCAATCAATACACTGTAGGAATAGGAATTAAGAACACCTTCAGGCTGTAAACATACAAATAAACATCACTTATTATTCAACACTTGGTTGTTACTATACTGTCTAGTACAATCATTGTGCGACTAGTGCTCAGGAAAAACTCTTTCAGTTCTGAGATGATAAAACTAAAACGTAAATTGCTCAAACTTCAAATTTCTTATCAAAATTGTACGAGCTTTATTTCTAATTGATTAACGGCAAAAATTAACAATCACCATCATCCTTCATATCAATC